CTGCTAATGTCAAAGTTTTGACGAACTTCTCATGCCAGTGCTTAGGTGCTTGCTTTAGGCCATACAAATATTTCAATAGTTTACACACCTTTCCCTCTCGACTGTTTGCTATAAATCCATCAGGCTGATCCATATATATCTATTCCTCAAGCTCTCCATTCAAGAAAGTTGTCTTAATATCCATCTGATGAACAAAAAGTCCATGTGAGGCAACCAAGGAAAAGTAACACTCATATAGTCATCAAACGAGCAACTGATGAATAAATATCAAAACAATCTCTGCCTTCTTTCTATGTACAACCCTTGGTAACATACCTCGCCTTGTACTTCTCAATAGTACCATCAGGCCTAAGCTTTTTCTTGAGCAGGCATTTATAACCTACAAGTTTGCACCCGTACGGATAATCAACAACCTCCCAAGTTCCAATAGACACATAACAGAATCCATCTCACTCCGAATAGCTTCCTTTCATAAGTCAGCGTCAAGAGATGAATCACTACTATAGATTGATTTATCACTGTCGCCACTTTCACTATCGTAGCAATAGAAGCAACGGTGTGATACTTGCACCGTCGGTTGAAACGATAGCGAGGCCTCCTAGGACTAAAACCAGCAGTTTAGACTTCTACCACTGATGGGTTAACGATAGATGCGGTAGTGGTATTGGGGTTGCATTTCCTCTATCGCAAGAAAAGCCGGGCCGACTGGGATACGCATTTTGCCCGCCAGCCCTAAAGTAGTGTTTGGTCAACCGGCGGTAAATTCAGCGTGAGTGTTGAATTGCCTCAACTTCCAAGGCCATCAAATCACCATTGCTTCTGCCGCCTAAAGTCTAAGCGTCGCGTACCCACTACTGTACATATACTTCAAGCCTGGTGTCCTCTGAAACCACCCTCTTCTTCATCCATCATACCCTTCTCTTCCAATCTACAAAGAAAATCTCAGATAGCCCCATCAAGTTTCCATGCAGCCCATCGTCCAGCGAGGATGTATTGCCTTTCCACCACTCCTCCGAGGAGAACGTCTCCTCCGATGATGGGATGTCTGATTATAGTCCTTCGTGGAGCTCCAAGAAGGAGAACCCAGAGGAGGAGGACGAGGACGATGCCGATGTCGACATCGAAGACGATGACGACTCCGACTACTCTGACTCCGACTTTGCCTCGCCTCCTCCCAAGCGAGCGAGGCGAGCATCATATATTTAGATTAAGTAGTTATAATTAGTATAAGTAGTTTTAATAGTTTAGGTTAGTTATTATGCTTCCGGACGAGTACAATCAAATACTCGTCCAAATTGTATCTATATGTTAAATATATATAATCAATCAATGAAAAGAATTCTATTCGCGCAGATTTGACTCTTTAATGCCATATTTTTTATATGAAATGGAAAGCAAGTTCTTTCCAATACTACTTCCCAAATGCTAGTGCACGGATTTGATCTCTCAATGAATGTTTTTCAATTTTTCTGTATATTTGTGAATGAAAAGGGAAAAAACTATCATGTACGGTTGTAGTTGTTTTTAGGAGAATCTAAAAGCAGTTTAACCTCTGACAATCGCCATATTATAGCGTTGGATTAGCGTGGCAATGGTCAGCTTAATACGTACACTGTTTAACTTATCACGTGCCATCTGTTCTCGCTGCCGATCAATCGGGACTGTCCATTTGGCAACAAACCTAGAAGCGCCCGACCCAATCCCAACTCCCCTCGGCTCCTGTCGGCGCCATGGCGGTGGTTCGACCAACTAAAAAACCCAATACGAAACCGTTAGTTCTCCCCACCCATTGTTGCTTCATCTTTATTCTCCCCACTCGTTGCTTCATCTTCATTTTGACCCATCACCTGTACATGCCCTACCTCGAGCACCTTGCATTGTCATCGTGGACAATGCCCCATGAAGGTTAAATGGATTTGGTCACCCCCCCTATTTGCATTTGGTTCCAATTAGTTTTGGGTTCGGTATCAGTTTTGTTCATATTAAGAATTTCTTCATTGTAACAGATGTATTACTTCGGAGGAAGCCATTTCAATGCAAGCAACCTTACATTTTGGCAGCTAGGGGTGGCACCAAGACCCTAGATGATGTTGTTTGCTACTTGGAGATGGAGCATTCACTCGGACCGACTGTTGATTGTTGAAGCCGTTGTTCGTCACCTTCTCGGACCACAAAATTTGACAAGAATCGTTCAAGACCCTGTTTATGGAGAGATTTTTGTGCTTTGTAGGACTAGACAGGAACTAGACATACTTTATACATATAATGTGGCCCTGGACGAAGATGTTGTCATCTTCGCTATGGTTCACTACCTCTGGCTTTCGGAACTGCATCAACCAATTGAGTACCTTACCAACTGCCTACCCATCTAACATTAAGTCTTAGAATTTGTGAAACTTTTATGTTAATGAAGTTTATATGTACTGATGAAACCTCTAGATTAGTATGTATGAGTACTGCATAATTGTTGAACTATTACTTCGATTGAACTATTAATTGAATTGGTTGGTCTTGATTGTGGTCCACGTGTACACCTCTATGTAAGCACAGAGGATCCAAAATAGGTCTTCTTCTACAGGCGGATAGTACCCTGAACCGGCGGTAATATAGCATTTCATCTTGGCAGGAGTGCGAGGGTTTTGAAGGAGGGTTTTGAAGGACGTTTTGGTGCCTTGGCGGAAGGCAAAAGCGTAGACAAAAGACCTGGGCCGACTTCTTCACTCAGAGTGTGCAACACTTTGAACCCTGACTGCTCCATGGCTGCATCTAGCTCCAACTCCTCCCAGTGGTCGGCACCATCCCAGGGCGCCGTCGCGAGAAGAACACCGGAATCCAGCGGAGGAGGCTATAAAGGGAGGGGGCCGCCCATCCCATGCCATGTCGAGAACCACCCCTAGGCTTGCCACAAGTGAAGCATTTGCCTTTTTCCTCCTCCTCCTTCCTCTTAAAATGGGTAGCGTTCTTTTGTTTGAGTTCTTACTTGTATTTTTTGTGGGAATTTTGAGGATTTTTCTGCATCACATGGGCACTAGAATTTCTCTCAACAATTTTCTTGCCATGGATGTCCTTTGCTCTCGCCTTCTCTTCAACATCCAAAGAGCTAATGAAATCAGCAATGTTGTACTCATGTCTCTTATGTTTCAAAGAATGAAGTAGAAAAGTCGGTCCAAGTTTGGGGCAGCTTAGCAATGATGCATCTCGCCATAAACTTATCCGGCAGCACACAACCAAAAACCTCAAGCTCTTTTGCCAGTGTTTGTACCTCATAAGCTTGTTCTACTATAGATCAGCCATGAACCACCCTATAGTCATGAAACTGCTCCATGACACAGCATTAGAAACTACATATTTGGCCTCAAGGGTGTCCCACATTTCTTTTCTAGTGGACAGAGTCATGTATGCATCGACTAGAGTACCCAAGCATGCTGATTATTGTTCCATTGAACATAGTATCAGCCTTACGGAACATATGCTTCTCTTCAGGAGTATGCAGTCCTACTGATCTAGGTTCGGCAATAAAAAAGCAATGCATAGCGGTCAAGCACAACATTCATCGTTGATGCCACCTCTTGTATTGTGTGCCCTCAAAAACATTTGGTTTTAGTGCATTCGTAAAGCCAGCTACCGAAAAATGTCTATAGGTTTTTGGATTGTTAGAAAATTAGTAAAATTTAGTATATATCAATTTATTAATCTAGAAATATATTAACAACAGGTTTGTGACATCAAATATGTGCACGTGTGATCTAGCCACTAACAAGACAACGAGCATCATACTAATCATGATTTTAACCATAGAAAAGAAAAGACAGGTTGCAGCAATAGCATACCAAACGGCACTAGAGCCAGTTACATTAGTCGACATAACACTTGTTGTTGTCATCCTGCTTGGTACAGTGCAGAAGTGTTTAGTGACAATCACCACCAAGGTTGCCTCCGGGAAGTAGAGGAAGTCGATGATCATTGTCGTTAGAAGATGATCGATCAGTTGCGTGGAAGACGCTCCCCAAAAACTAGATTGTCGTCCTTCACTTGAGTAGATGAACACAGAGATGGCTTGGTTTCATAGGCCTGCTCTCCCTATTCATATGCGTGCAAGAACCCGGATGGGGAGAACTCTAGTTGCAGCGGAAGCGGTGGATGTTTGCACAAGAGAAAAGAACTAAATAATGGGATGAGTCTCTTACCTCGCCGACTCCCACAGAAGTCCAAGTGTCTCACGGAAGCGAAAAAATAAGGCGTCGGGGCTAGCCATGCGGAAGACCAAAAGGCAGAAGCAGAAGAGACGCTGACGGAAGAAACTCCCAAAACTTTCGAAACTCCTATCATCAACTGGAGCAAAAACTTGCGAAACTCCTGTCATCAACCGGCTTAAGTGGCAAAACCAAACCCGCACCACATTAGGTGGGGTCGGGTTGGCATGGCTCGGCGGCGGCGCGCATGCCTATGTGGCATGCTCTCATTCTCTCTCAACTTCTCAATATAGGCGCATACAGTCCACCCATATAAGTTGACTCAACAACCCTTTAAAATTCCATATGAGACTAACAATATATTACACATAATATTTAACACGGGGCCTTATGATTTATTTGATTTAATTGAATTAAAATAGGTCAAGCCCATTGTTAAATCCAACAGATCGGACGACTGCTCAAGAGAAACACAAAAGCTAGCAACGTTCGTCTTCTAGTAGTGAGTAGGTCGAGTACTATCATATGTACTCTTTCTTTCAAACATATATACCATTACCTATATATGTGGCTGTGTGTGCCGTCCCTAGTTCTCTCTCCAGTCCCCATCTCAGCTCTGTCAACGACGAAGAGATTTGAGATTGAGGGAGGCAGCAGAAGAGATAGCAGGAATCAGAAAGAAGCCCATGCATAGGTGCTGCCGTGCTGCTAGTATATTGCTGTGGCCTTTGTAAACTATTTCTAGTGCAGGAGGAGGAAAAGAAGAAGCCTGAAGCCATACCAGGAGACATCTATAGGCCAACAGAGATGGGCAGGGCTCCGTGTTGCGACAAGGCGAATGTGAAGAAAGGGCCCTGGTCACCCGAGGAGGACCGCAAGCTCAAGGAGTACATCCACAAGAATGGCACCGGCGGCAACTGGATTGCTCTCCCTCACAAAGCAGGTAATTGATGAAGTTCGGCACAAGCAATAGTAGCATGCATGCCTGCTTGCATTATTTAGCCACGATCGTTTGATGCATCTAAAGAAACTGCATGCATTGCAGGGCTGAAGAGGTGCGGCAAGAGCTGCAGGCTGCGGTGGCTCAACTATCTGAGGCCAAACATAAAGCATGGCGACTTCTCTGATGACGAGGATAGAATCATCTGCAACCTCTTCGCTTCCATTGGAAGCAGGTAAGTATAACAATTGATTAAACTCTTCTCTACTCTCTAGTCTCTACTAGTGCCAGCTCCAGCTCCCATCCTCCCACTAGATTTTCGATTGCCACCACTGCCACACTAACCGGTGGTGTCAACTGGAATGGACTACTGCAAGTTCGTCCCTTTTCAGTCAAATTGATCGTCAGGACTTAGGATGCACGCAGAAATTATAAATCATACTCCCTCGATCTCAAATTATAAGTTATTGCAACTTTTTAGGAGAGTCAAAGCATCTTAAGTTTCACCAAAATTAAATAATAAAATAATAATATTTATGATACCAAATAAGTGTTATTAGATTCTTTCTTAATTATATTTCATTGTATACCTATTTGATGTCATAAATCTTTATAATTATCTCTATAATTTTGATTAAATTTGAGATGCTTCGACTCTCCAAAAAAGTTGGAATGACTTATTTTTTGGAGACTCTCAAAAGAAAGTTGGAATAACTTATAATTTAGAACGGATAGAGTATTGTTGTATGTATGACATAGTAGTTTGTTAGCTAGTCGAATTATTTGTTCATGCATGGGTGCCTTGGATGCGCATTGCACTAATTATTACTCCATGGGACTACAGGTGGTCGATCATCGCAGCACAGCTCCCTGGGAGGACGGACAACGATATCAAGAACTACTGGAACACCAAGCTCAAGAAGAAGCTCATGCATGGCCTTCAGGCGCCATATTACACCACCCACAACCACCACAGCACTGCCGTGTCAGCAGCAGCGGCGGCGGTGACGTCGCCAGAAGCTGCTCCCATCATGTCGCTGCAGCACCTCTCGTTTCCTCATGATTATTCTCACCTCTACAGCGGTGGCGGCAGCTTCGGCCCCAACAACAGCACGACGTCCCTCCTCTCCGCTGCCGCCAGTAGCCGCGGCCTCCTCCTCAACGGCGAGCAGCAGGTGTTGAGAACATCGCCGCGTTTGGACAGTCGGGGCGGCCATGACATTTACTTTGACGAGCCATGCGCCACCACCATCAGCAGCAGCGTCGTTCATGGGCATGGGCATGGGTTTGGCGCGGAAACCATCATCTTTGGCGGCTTTCAGTTGCAGGAAGATCATCATCACAAGGCAGAGGCACTGCTGCTTGCCTCCGTTGCTTCTAACCAGATGGATGAAGAGTACAACTTTGCGGCCTCCTGCTGCTACGACGAGAAGGCGCCGCCGTTGCTTAGTCTGACGGGCGGCGCCGGTGGTACAAGTAGCAGCTTTTTCTACGACAGCACCTACAGCGAGGAGACAGCGACGGCAACGAGGGCTGGTGCCCAATAAGGCTAGTTTCCATACACTAATTAATCACAATTATCATAAACGAAGGACTGTTCGTACGTTACGTACTATGTAATTTAAGGGCCGGCCACGGCTCAGGATGAATGAGCTTGCTACGTACTCCATGTGTGTCTACCGTACGTACCTTGTAGTATGTGTTAATGTGATTTCACCAATTAATTGCATGCATTATTAGGCAGATGCTAATGAAAAACAGACTGAGAATCGAACAGGTTGCGAATTCGAATTGTGGTGCGATCGACCTTTTCTCTGCCGTCATCAGCTCATATGCTCATGAGTAACACTGATTTTACAACTGAGGTCTCGTTTGGTGGGGCTCTTCTCCGTCTCTCGCTGTGGCTCCTGTACGTAGAGAAGTCTTACCAAACAGTTTAGTAGGAAAACTGTTTTTTGTTAAAAAAAAAGAGCCCTAATAAACAAGGCCTCTGTAGAACCACCGGTCATGAGTACCACCAGTCCGAGAGTGCATCCTCGCCCAACTCATGGCAAGTCATACAGGCATGCAGCACCCCTCCCGACCGGTGTATGTTGTACATGATACGCTGCTGAATATATCAATTTATAGATTTATTTTAAGTCAAACATTTAAATTTAACCAAAATTATAAAAAGGGAAAAAATATTATAACACTAAATTAATATCATTCGATACATTATAAAATATGTTTTTGTAATGTGCTTCTTTAGTTTTGTAAATATTTGAACTCTTTTCTATAAATTCAGTCAAACATAAAAAAAAACTTTGACTTACAATTTTAAAAATTGATTTATTCAAGGACGAAGGTATGAAAGGTCCTAATGGCTAAAGGGGGTGAATAACTAATTAAAAAACTCTACAACAACACTGAAGTAAAGTGGTTAGATAAATATGAGGCAAAACAAGTGGAGGCCACATATTCACAATTCTAATTATTATGATCTCTAATTCACACAATGACTAAGTCACTGCTCTCTAAGTTAGTGAGCTCTCAAAGACTAACTAAAAAGCCTCACTATCCAAACTAACAAGACACAAACTAGCTCTCAAAACTAGTTATACTAAAGAGCTTATCTACACTAGAAAAGTAAATGCAAGAGAGGTACTGAGGTTTATACCGCCATGGCAAGAGATATACAATCAATCATAATGAGAAACCCAGAGACAATGATGACATAATGATTTATCCCCGAGGTTCATTTGCTTACCGGCAAGCTACATCCTCATTGTAGCGATTCACCTACTTAGAGGTTCACGCGCTAATAGCCATCACACGCCTAACCCGTAATCGGGTGCCGCACATTCAACACAAGATGGGGATCCACAAGCTACGAGCAATCCACTAGAGTAACTTTTGGCTCTCCGCCGGGGAAAGTTCAAGAACCCCTCACAATCACCACGATCGGAACCGGAGACAATCACCTTTCTCTGCTCGACGATTCTCGTTGCACCAAGCCGTCTAGGTGGCGGCAACCACCAAAAGTAACAAGCGAATCTCACAGCGAAACACAATCACCAAGTGCCTCTAGATGCAATCACTCAAAGCAATGCACTTGGATGCTCTCCAATCACACCAAAAGATAAATTAGTCAAGCTAGATGAGTGAGAGAGGAATGGCTAGGCTCACTAGGGTGTATTCTCAGTAGAAATGGCCAAGAGGGTGAGCCATGGCCGGTTACCACGCTTATATAGGGGCTCCAACAAAATAGAGCCGTTGGCCCCCTTACTGGGCTGAAATCGGGGCAACCGGACTCGTCGGTCGAAGTGACCGGACACACCAGTCCTAGCGTTCGGTCGCTGGATTTCTGCCATGCGTCCCTCGCTTAAATGTCAGCCACACGGTCCCAATGGTTCTCTGCCATTCACGCGTTACTTAAGTGACGACCAGACGCACGTGAAGAACGATCGGACGTGTCGACCCTGCATCAGGTCCTCGCACGCCCGTGTGCCAACTGCCCACGATCGGACGCATCACTGAGAGACCGGACGCTCCAACAACGCCGAGTCAGATCAAGTCTAGTAAGCATCCAGAGACGGAATTTCTTGATCGAACGCGTCAGATCGACTGTGACCAGACACATGATAGTGTTCGATCCTCTATGGTTCCTCTCTGCGCGCCATGACTGCTTGCATCATCGTACGTCATGGGTGACCGGACGCACCCCCTGCACGTCTAGTCCTCCATGTGGACCTAAGTCCGGTCACTCGCCCGAGCGTGCCCTTCTCTGCGCCACTGACCGGACGCTGCTAGCCGAGTTCGGTCACTGCTAAGGCAGCATCCGGTCACCTCGGGACAGCTCCTCCACTTCTCAAACTTCGCCACCCTTGCTCAAACGTGCTAACCACCAAGTGTATCAACTAGTGCACATGTGTTAGCAACTTTTCACAAACATTTTCAAGGGTGTTAGCACTCACTAGAATCTAAATGCATATGCAATGAGTTAGAACATCTAGTGGCACTTTGATAACCATATTTCACGACAAGTTTCACCCCTCTTAATAGTACGTCTATCTATCCTAAATGTGATCACACCCACTAGGTGTCTTGATCACCGAAACAAAGAGCTCCTATCAATTATTCCTTTGCCTTGAGATTTTTGTTTTTCTCTTCTTTTCCAAGCTTTTGAGCCCTTGATCATCACCATGGCCTCCACCATCATCATGATCTTCATTCACTTGGTCCATCAACTTGGTTTGGTACTAACCTATCTCATGATCACTTAGAGCAAAGGTTAGCACCTAGGGTTTCATCAATTCACCAAAACCAAACTAGAGTTTTCAATCTCCTCCTTTTTGGTAATTGATGACAACCCTTTCACAAAAGATATGAATTGAAATCATTTTGAATCCATATTGCTTGCCCAAGCATTTTTACCATGTGTAAAGGATTTGGACAAGTTTCATGAACCCGAATTAGTAGCATTAGTTCCCCCTACATATGTGCTAAGAGTTTGGATTGAAGCTTGCTATATGCATAGATAGAAAATGTGGGAAAGCAATATCTACCAAATGATGCTAAGATATAAGAGATGGACCTTTGAAGCGTGATACTAATCGGAGTGCACCAAATATACCATCCTTAGCACCATTGTTTGTTAGATACCACTTGAAATTACTTGAAAATAACACAAACACTAGATACCTCATGAGATCAACATTAGAAACAAGGCTCTAGTACCACTTGTGAAACAAAAAAACCAAGTGTCTAGCTAAACATCCTATGCATGCTAGTATCTCATTTCATCATTCAAACCTACAACTAGCATAGACCACACAAGCATGTATATTCAATTTAAACTTGACAAATGCAAGCAATCATATGTGAATGCACATTCAAATGCATCATTCAAGTTCATGAGCTTGCTCCCCCTACTTATGTGCATAAAATTTTAATTGATCCCTTTCCTTTATCATATTCCTCCCCTTATGTCAATTCTCTCCCCCTATCTCATATATCTTTTTTTCTCTCCCCCTTTGTCATCAATGACCACAAAGGTTTAATTTTAGATAGGTTAAGATTATCAAGGTCAATCAATGGGGTGAGGATAATTTTTCCAAATTTGGTTCAATCTAGAACATTTGCCAAAGATATTTAACTCGGTTTGATCCAAGGACAAGCTTCTTCACACCTCATTTCAAGGGTTATCTTGACCATGTTGAGTTAAACACTTATAGCTCATTTTCTTGATCAAACACTACGTTCACAAGCCCATAAACATGTCATATGCTACCACTAGATCAATTCAAGCATAGGAGCAATAGTGGTACCATATAAGCTTCAAACTCATTTGATTTACATGAATGAGCCTATAAAACATGTGGAATGACTAAATGCACTAAACCTTAGCAAAGGATGTATGCATGCCAATCAACTTTTACCTTGGATTGCTCGAAGGAGAGGCATGTCATACAAGTGGGTGGGGTGCATCAACACATATTTGAGAAATCCAATATGTTCAACTCATTTCTTAGCTTGCAAAACCTTTTCTCATCAAGTGGCTTGGTGAATATGTCGGCAAGTTGATCTTCGGTGCCCACACTCTCAATTGAAATATCCCCTTTTTGTTGATGATCTCTTATGGAATGGTGGCGGACATCAATGTGCTTTGTTCTTGCATGTTGAACCAGGTTGTTGGTGAGCTTGATAGCACTCTCATTGTCACATAGCAATGGCACTTGTTTGAACTTGATTCCAAAGTCACTCAAGGTGGCCTTCATCCAAAGAATTTGTGCACAACAACTACCGGCGGATATGTATTCGGCTTAGGCAGTTGAAAGTGCCACATTATTTTGCTTCTTTGATGACCAAGGTACAAGTGATCTTTCAAGTAGTTGACATGTGCCCAATGTGCTCTTTCTTTCCACTTTGCATCCCGCATAATCCGAGTCAAAATAACCAACTAACTCAAACTTTGCTCCTTGGGATACCACATACCAATATTTTGTGCATGCTTCAAGTACCCCAAAATTCTCTTTGTTGCTTTCAAATGACTTTCTCTTGGTGAGGCTTGAAATCTTGCACACATGCATACACTAAACATGACATCTGGTCTTGATGCGGTCACATAGAGTAGGCTTCCAATCATAGAGCGATACAACTTTTGATCCACCATGTTGCCACTTACATCACTATCCAAATTGCCATTTGTTCCATGGGTATACTAATTGGCTTTGCTTCATTAATGCCAAACTTCTTGAGCATGTCTTTGATGTACTTGCCTTGACTCACAAATCACTACTACACTCACACCTTTCACAGCCACATCGTAACCCCCCATCGTAGTTCAATTTCGGCCTCGGTAGTAAGCTATCAACAATGATAGTCGTAGTCATCACCATCCCTATCTGAGACTATCTGCGGTGTACACTCACACCACCGTATTGGCTTATGATCCGTCCGTGATTAGGTCCTTACTTCCGTCGCACTAGAGCACGACCTAGTTGTGTTGGTATACACTAACACCATCGTGTTGGCTTATGATCCGTCTGTGATCAGGTCGTTGTTT